CTTCGAATACGAAATTAAATTACAGTACATACAAAAAAAATAGTTTAAATTCTTTTTCTTTAAACTAAGGAATGAAAGAAAAAACAAAATAAGAATAAGAAACTCAAATAATTATAATAAAAAGAAGTCAAAAAATAATTTATGTATGAAAAAAAATATACCTTGAACTTTGATAGAAGAATTTATATATCCCTAAGTATTTTTTTTTAAAAAAATAGAAGTAATAAATAAAAATTTAAACTAACTTTTTAACTTCCGTTAAATAAAGGGTATATGTGAGCCATTTTGTAACGGCAGGCGTATATGTGAGTCGTTTGTATAACGATAAAAGCATATATGAGTCACTTTTATAACGAGAAATATATCATCTTCAAATGACAAAATTAAGGAGTATATCAGACCCTTTTTCCAATCTTTTAACATCAAATGAGTGCTTAAATAATAATGAAATTAGGACGACAACACTTAATGAATTAAAGTCTGAACCATTCGAATTAAAACATCCAAGTACAAAACAAATAAAGTTAATTATCCTCTTATCAGAATTTGCACAAGCATCCAACATCACATCAACCATGTACACCTAATTTTACTTTAATTTGATTTTAAATTTAAAAAATCAAAATATTTGATATTACTAAAATCCAGTCAAGAAAAACAACAAAATCAAATCAATAATCAAGCACAAAAAATTTAATTTAAACATTTCAAGGAGTTTTGTGTTTCTATAAACGAATCAAATACATATAGATATAGATAGTTATTACTTAATTCTTTCTATTTAATTAACAAATTATATATTCATTTTACGATCACCAAAATAATCTTGACTCAGAATCAATCACGTGTGTCTATTGTGTCGGCTACTATGACTTTATTTATTTTTATTAAGATTAAAATATTTGGATTGAAGGTATATTTGAATAATTATAATATTGTCTTTAAATTTTATATATATAATAAATCTTATTTTACTTAGCAAATTTAAGATGAAAGTTTTATTTTTAAGGTAAATAAAATAAAAGTTTTACTTTTAAATGCATACAGGATGCACACACAGAAATGTTGAATCTAATTAGGATGAGAGTTTTATTTTTTTTAAAATGATTAACTAAAATTTGCAAAAAAATCTATTTAAAAAAATCAGTGTAAAGTGAACTGTGTTATTTGTAAGAATAACTTACTCTTAAAATTTATGCAATGCATATTAATCTGAATACAACAAATCAAACGTTCAATAAGAAATAATTTCAACATAACTTATTTCAATCATAATTAATCTCTGCATAGCTTATTTCATCCTAACGTATCTCAACATAATTAATTTAGCATAACTAATCTCATCATAAATTAACTTGTATTCAAACACAAACGCTCCTTGAGAGTTTTAGATTAAACTATAATAAATTAGAGTACTGAAATGCAAGTTCAACATGTAATATATATGTGGAAGTATAGATCGATGCACAAGTCATATCCAAGAAATAAAGTTTCAAATATCTTATTCCCCATCTTATAACTAAAGAAACCTAACAAAATATAATTGGCAGAAAAACAATGAGAATAACATGCTTTTAAATATAACATTGTTTTTGTTAATAGAGTACTTAAAAAGGTAAATTTCAAACTTACAATTATTCATAATATATCTTACATATATTAAACATTGGAAATACAATTCCTAGAAGGAGAGGGAGTACATATATGTAATACACTCTTCAAACATAATTTAACTAATTTCACACACTAGCTAACTAGTTAAAACTAGCTAGCTAATATAACACAAACACACATATATATTATTATATGATATATGTATGTGTGTAAATACACACATTTTGTTTTTCATAATTATTACTTGAGAAGGTGATTCTCTATATCTTTTGTCACACCAATGAGAAAACCCAATAGAGCAAGAGGTTCCGGAGTTTCTTCAGTTTTCTTTTTGTACAGAAATGTCCATGTAGCCCATTGCTGATCACTTGACGAAATAAAAGTGAAGGAATCATACAGCTCTAACATATCTCCGCCAATTATTTTCGAAGTGATTGATTTACTTTCAGGATCAATGGCTTCAAACACTTCCTCTACAATCTTATCTTTTCCATCTATATGATTAATGAAGTAAAAAAACATAAGAGCTAGTTAATAGGCTACTACTCCATCTTTTAAAATCTCATAAATAAAATATATATATAAACATTCACAATTAGATACTTTTAGCTCATTTCTTTAGGTTTTTCTTTAATTTTCGTTTTCTCCAATGAAATCTATAAATATTTGTACAATGTCTTAAGATATAATTAATTGGTGAGTAAAAATATTTTATAGAAAGTATATATTATATTTGAATCATATTTCAGAAAACAACGTTTATGGTAAAAAAAAATATATTATCAAAGATTAATAATGTATGTCGAAATATTCTTCGCTAGAGCAAATAAAGACACTACTTGAGAATTTAAGGGTGTGTTTGGTACGAAGGAAAATGTAGTCTTGGTTTTTTAAAATTTGGCAAAAATAATTATTTACGTTATCAGGTATTTATAAAACTTTAATTATTAAATTTAATAAAATAAAATACATTTAACAAAAACTCATATTTGGAAGTACAACTTTTATAGTGTATGTTATTTTCGATATATATTTAGAGTTTAACTTTTTAAGAGTGAGATGCAACTTTAAAAAAAAAAAAATTGGTGTGGAGGATGGCTAGTAGGCCAGTCAGGGTAGGTTGGGTAAAATAATAAAATTCTGAAAATTTGAAAATATTTTTTTTTAAAATAAACTATTATATTATTTTTCGTTCGGGGGTAGTGGTAGGGTAAGGTAAAAATTAAAATTTGAAAACAATTTTCAAGAACAAAAGTTTAAATTTTTTTTGGGGAGGGGGGAAAATATAAATTTATATATATTTTTTAAAAAGAAAATTTTTAATTTTTCTTGTTAGGGTTTGTAGGGGTGGTACTTCCTCCGTTTTAAAAAGGATGACCTAGTTTGACTTGGAACGGAGTTTAAAGAAAAGAAAGAAGATTTTTTAATTTTTTTTGTTCTAAATAAAATTTATGTCAAATGTACCAAAGTGACATTTAATCTTGTGGTTTCAAACATGTCTCGTGGAGTGTTATAGTTAACGTGTGGCCAAAAAAGGAAAGGAATCTTTTTTTTAACAGACTAAAAAGGAAATATGGACATTCTTTTTGAAATAAGTGGAGTAAAATTTAAAATTCAAACTATTTTTTTAAAAAAATTTAAGTTTTTTTTTAATTGGGGGAGGGGCTAGTTTGGGGATGGAGCGTTAGGGTAGGGACAAAATAAATTATTTTTAAAAAAAAAATTAGTTTAATTGTTTAATGGGGAGGGTGCGGGTACGGAGTAGGATAAGAAAAGAAGTTTATAATTTGAGGTTGGAGGAGAGTTGAAAATATTTTCTTAATTTTTGAAATAAAGTCATTTTCTTTCAATCTAAGAAAAATAAATTGATTTGAAAAACAATTTTTATTTTCCAAACCATTTTAAACCTACCAAATATGAGAAAATTAAACCCATTTCACTTGAGCAAACATAACTTTATTATTCATTACAATTTTAGTGATGTTGCACATTTTTATGTTTGAGTATAATAATATTAAGGTACTTATATAGAAATGATTTTCCTCAATGTTCAAAATAACCTTTTATGAAAAACATAATTGAAAATTGACTTTCTCAAACACAAAAAAAAAATCGATCCATATAAAGAGAGAGATAAAGTGGATATTACCATCGTTATATTTCCACCTAATAACTGAACCAACCTTTATGATTTCGCCTTCGATAAACTCAAAACTCAGTATCTTGCTAGGTGTTATGTTGGGTATAAGATGAGGTTTGGTGTATAAATAATCATACATTAAGTGTCCTCCACAATTTATTTCTATAGAAGCACTCAACTTACCTTTCAAGCCCATTTTTTAGATATGCTGAAAAAATATTTATAGATTGATGATAAAATAATTAAAAATCGTACCCTTTATATAGATTTCATTTAGCTGTATAAAAAGTTTTATGAACATGATAAGACATATTATGGAAAATTAGAATTTAAATGGAATAATCTCATAACTATTGTTTGACTAGTCTTGATTTTTTAAATTTGTCAAAAATAATTATTATACGTCATCAGATATTTATTAAACTTTAATTATTAAATTTAATATTTAGAAAGAAAAAAAACTCACATTTGAAAGTAGAGATTTTATAGTGTATGCTATTTTTGATATATTATAAGAGTTTGATGCAACTTTTTAAGGCGTAACTCCATAAGTTTAGTTATTTTTGTCAAAAAAAATATATATTATGGCTTTGTATAAATAACTCACAAATATCCTTTTTTTCTAGCTAGAGTTAAAAAAAATTGATTTAATTTTTTAATTGTTTTATATATATATATATATATATATATATAT